AGGAATTAATGTAGGTTTTATTTTTGATTGAATTTTGTTTTGTTCGCTAAAAAACAATAAACCGATAATTTCTAAGTATTTTTATAAGAATACAATAAGAAATAGTTTATGTATGATATTGGCATGCCTCTCAGTTTGGTAATTAGGGCCACATATGTCTTGAGGAATGCCAAACAAATATTTCTACCTGGGTAAATGATTATTTAAAAAATCACAATGGACCTATTTCTACTAGTGTATCATCATCATCATCATCACGGATAATACTTGAAGGTATAAAAGAAAAATCTCTTATGTAAATAAATTTTTTCATGCAAACCATAATTGACATGTATCACACAAAAGATGTTGAACATTTTCCGGAAAGAATATGCACAACTCTACTTCTTTTAGGTTGTTTTATATAAAACACTAGTATTGTGAAATAATTTATGTATATCGCCTGAGGATAGGTATTTTAAAACCTTTCGTGTTCGAAATAACTTAAAAAATTATTTTTTGAAAAAAATTTCTTTCTATTCAAGTTATTTGGGACTTTGTAATACATTGTATTACCTAAATTGTCAAAATCACATCGCGTGAATAATCTTTTAAGAACCTAACACAAATATTCTCATCAGTTTACCATCTGCTATATTATTGACTGCTTATATAGCTACAAATTTATTTTGATGATATTCAACACACGTAACATTTCAGTTTTTACAATGTCGATGGCGTGAAGACGCTGACCGATTTTTATTGAATTTATATGATGGCTGTCATCTGTTTCCTCCCTGTTACTTTGTAGCTAATATACATTTACATTTGATGTGCAGTCGAAATTATTGACAGGCTGTATACTTAAGTGTTCAGTAAATTGCGGTTTTAGCATAAAAGAAATAAACATCTTCACATCCTTCCGGCCAGAATTCGCATCATTTAAGTGGTTAAATAGTTAATATCATATTTATTCACAGATGACGAACAATAATGAACTTTTATTATTATTTCTTACAAAAGAACAGTGATTGTAAACTGTTCCAACAACTAGAATTTCTTGTCCATCCAGATGCCAGCATTTCACTATTATTTCTCTTTTGTTTCATTCGTTTTTCATTTCCTCTTTCTACTCCTTTTTCGTATGCAACTCTTGTAGTGTTCCTGTTTTTCACCTCGTGGCCGATACGGTGGTTAGCCTCACGCGTGCTTTTTTTTTCTAACTGCTGGACGCCTGGTGTGGTGCTCACACAGATTCACTTTGAATACTTGAGTGTATAGAGGCACTTAAAAAGCTTGGAGAACCTGGTGCTGGCAACTTTGTTGAGCCCGTCGCATTAATTAGCCGCGAAATTCGGAATCCAGTTGAGGATGATACGTGAATCCCCCCAACTTCGAAAGTAAAAGTCCAAGTGATGGTCTCCAACATGAAGAAGAAAAGGTATCCAAAACCATTCTTTAGAGACATGGTCGAGGTTAAATTGTGAACCAAGTCTCTTTGGTTTATACTTCTCAGAAGAAGATCGTAAAGACTGTGCACCTCTGTTATTATCTTCAACGGTCTCTTGATTCTGCTAAAGGTGAAGTGCCTCCACACACTTCAACTTCTTTTTACCTCAAAAATTACTATCATTCTTAACTCATTATCATCATTATTATAAATAAACGCAAAGATTTAAATTGCTTTAGTCACTAGTTGAAAGTTTTTTGTATATCTCAACAGTCATATTTTATCCAACAAAGGTACCCCATGTAGGAAATGACGACAGGCCTAAGGCTGCATCAATAATAGTCGACATTAGTCTGTGAGCTGGACAGCCAATATTTGTCCCAACCTGCTTGAAAGTCTTTGGTCCAAAGCAGGTCTAAGATAGACCTAGTGTAGTTTAAATATGTTCATTCTTTCTCAATGGTAATCAACTAAAGGTGGGTCAAGATCAATCATCAAAAAGTAATAAATAAAATTTGAATCCAGTTCTGAACCAGGGGAAACTACCTATTCTTGGTGGATCAATCACATCCCAAACTTTGTTTAACCTTAGATGAACTTTATTTTATCAGTTTGGCAAGTCAACACAAGTTGATCAGTTCCATCAACTCTAACTATTATGACATGAGCATTGAAAGGACTCTTCTTGAACAATCATTATTTAATGTGTTAATCTTGATTTATAATAAATTCAGATTACATCTATTTATTTCATAGCACGATTGTTTGTGGAATACATTTTTTTTTGTTAAAAAAATTCATTCTGAAATAGACTGATTGTGTCATTATTTACATTGATTATTATTACGTTAAAAAAAGAGTATAGAAATAAAATTTTTCAGTGGAGTATGGTAATTGAGGTGTACGAAAGAGTGTAATAGGTTAATTATATTAGAGATTGTGGATTAAAAAGGTATGGTGAAAGAAATAAAAGAGGAAGTGATTAAAAAGTCAATGGTGTCCCATGTGGCGACGTTGGTAAGGTGGCAAACTTTTCTCCACCGAGATTATCGGAGAAAATCCATGAATACGGTGATTCCGGTCGGATAAAAGAAAGAATAAAAAAGAAAAAGAAAGAAAAAAGGTGGAAGCGTGTCGGCACTTCGTAACGGAGTATAAAAGAGGGATGGGGTGTAACGGAAAATAGAAAGGGAGCCAGGAAAGAGAGTCGGTAACCCAGTGTCGAGCAAGAGTACCGGAGCAATGTGGTCGACCACGAATGAGCGTAGCAACGAATAGAGGCAACACTTTGTACTTTTAATCGATCCAATGGGGGTACGACAACGTGGTGGAGAAGTGCGGGACGAAAGACACGAAGAGGTTGAATGAATGACTCGAGGGAGCAAGTGAGAAGGGGCGAGAAAGAACGTAGATACTACACGTCGAAGTAGAGCAAGAGCAAAAGTAGGAAGGGGTTGGCAGAGTAACAAGGAAAATAGAATAGGGGCTGCTTGAGCTTCTGAGTGAGAACAACGACCTACATCCTGCAATAGCAGTCAGACTCCTACAACTTTGGAGCCACCAGCTGGCTCTCCCCGTTCCGGCTTCACTGTCGTATCATGGGGGTCAGGTTCTCTACGTGTATAGAGAGCGCGGATCTTTCTGAAAGAGCAAGAAGGACACGCGTATTCCATTCATTCGTTTTCATGTCACGACGCACGATCGACTCAGCTCTAACTTGACTCAATGAAACTTATTGATATCTTGGGATAAAAAAAGGTCATTCATCAGTCTTAATAAAAAAACAATCTCTTTATTTTATGTGGATCTTTTACTCAAAAATCCGTATTAAATTAGATGAAATGTTTCAAAGGTACTTGTTTGAGTCTTTTTAGATCATTTTTACCACTTCCAAGTCTGTTTTAATATTTGAAATTTTTTCTTTCGGTTATAATCCGTTTCTAATCCTCAATATTATTTCTCTGATGTTTTTTAAGAATTAATGTGTCCTTGGAGCCATTAATTTTTTAAAAACAGTCATAGCAAAGATTGATATTAAGATTAAAGTTCCTGACAAGTACTTTGCAGTGATGAATTTAAAATAATAATAATGAGGTAATTTAAAATACTTAAAAATCAGGACTTGAAAGGATTAAAAATACCTATATTTCGACTTGGGTAACTAATGAATCAGTAAAAAATATTTTTAAATGAAAATAAGTAGGGTCGATCAATAAGATACGAAAGGGTAATGTGTCTGTGTATTGTAAATAAGAACATTAATTTACTGTCAGCTGGCTTGACGCTCTCGGTGTGCTGGTGAAGAAAGGGGGTGTTTTTCTACAGAAACCACGGCACGAATCTCTAGCTCTATATCTTTAACTTTAAATAAGGCGTCATTCGCGCGTAAAAACCTATAGTGAGGGGTTGAAGAAGAGGCTAGTCTAAGTAGGGTTGAAATGTTAAGGGTGCGGACGTGTTTTAGATGTGATGATAGGGATCTTTTAGAGGGTCGTTGCATTTTCTTTATAAATACTGTATATCCTACATTTATAATAGATTATTACTCATCAACATGATTAATTATATGATATATAATAATAAACAGAACGTTTATTTACCAAAAAAAATGCTTATCATGGTGACTAAGCCAACAACAAAAATATTGAGGCCATCATGTAATCATAGTATTTGGGGGGTTCTTTCTTTTTTAGACGTAATAAAATATGTGTAATTTCTCAGCATTAATAATAAACGTTTTACCATAATAAAATTAATAGGGAAATATTTATCAGCTTTTATTATCGACAAAAATTATAAATAACTTTATTTTATTAAATAAAAAAAAATTTTTTTCCCCATGTTTCTATTAATTGTATAAAAGTTGTTTCGTCGAGTTGAAAAATGTTAACATGAACCAAATATTGTAATCGTAGTTTTTAAAACTCAAAATTTTTTTTCACCAATTTTTTCCTATTATTTTTAGATTGAGAATATTAATTTATCAGTGAGGGCTTACCCAGCATAATAAGACTAAAAAAAAAAATCTCGTGGAAAAAATTTTATCGACCGTTGTATTTTTGGGGGCGGTGGCAATGCTCGCCATCATCCCCCTACATTTTTTTTCTCTCCCTTCGTTTTTACATACATCCGCGGAATCGACAATCTCTAGGATTTCAAACATTTGTCGGGGACTTTTTTGTTTAAAACGCGGGAGAATTTGCGAGTCACAATATATTCAAGCCCCCTCTCGTGCCCTCAACAACCTCTTAAGTTCGATTTACATCACAGCTCCAAACTGATTTAACCGTACGGAGAAGGGGTCAGTGTTGACAACGGGCAACCTGTGAGGGATGAAAAGGGGGCCAACATTGTAGACGTCCTCTTTGCTCTACCTCCAGAGAGGTAGCTTGGACACTCATAACAATCATAATAACAACTATCTCGCGACTAACTCGCGGCCCACCTCCGCGCACTAGATCCGCCTTTTCCACGCCCCTTAATCCCCCTCCCCGATGATACTGCGCGGACGGGTAGTAAGCGCGTCTGATCCGCGAACCTGCCGCCTCTTAACGCAAACGATCGCCCGCCACAACGCAGCGAGACTGCGACACGTGAGGTTGTAGGAGCGAGTTTGCGCGCGTTACGCTCTTTGCGCGGCAACGTGGTACGCACGCTTTCATCATATACCGGTCGTCAACGTGATCCATCATTAACGCTGTGCTCTTACTCATTTTCTGTTTGCATTTAAACACACTCATTTGGGGGAAAAAAAAAAATATCTATTTTAACTTACCACTAAATTCATTCCATTCATTGCATTCGATTAAATTCATTTAAGCTCGCGAAATTGAAACTTATTAAGACACAACAAAGTTCATCCCTGACAAACTGGACCAAGTGATTGCTGAATAGAGTGACAATTATCACAGTGAAAAATTGTGTGGATATAAAATATCGTGGATTAAATCAGTTTTTTTTTGTGAACTCATATTTATTGTTGACACTCTGGTGAATATTTCAGACATAATTATTTATTCTTCTTAATTAATCTTAATGAAGAGATAACGTACAATATGCAATATGGTAAAAATAATTCATAAAACATTCCATTTATAAAATCATAAGTGACAGCTGATAACTGACGTCAAAAAAAAAAAAATACATATATTAAACATAATTGTTTTTACTATAAACAGTAAGCAGTGTGGGAAAACTTACAGTCGTGACCAAGTGACTTTAAAAAAGCAAAAGTAATGAAAAGTTGTATTATTAATTTAGTGAATAAAAATATTACAAAATAAATAAATATTTAATTCTCGATTTCTATCGAGATTATTGTTAAAACGACGATTGAAAAAAATCTTGTCAAAACGGAGCGAGGATTTTCATTTTGGAATGATGACGTAACGAGTGAAACACGAGAGAAGTTGTTTACATTAAACACATATCGTGGGACACAAGAAGAGGCTTTTTACCAAAGGGAAAAGTCATTAAACATAGGGACGACACCGATCGATCTGCAGGTCAAGGACGCTAAGAAACAGGAGACTTGTAAGACAGGTGAGTAATAATTTTTTTAACATCGCAAATTGTTTTGAAGAGTAAATGAAAGAGAAATGACAATTTAAGTATACTTAGGATAGTAAATTGGTGATAGTACGCACAGTTGAGGCATTAATTAAATCGCCAAGTGGGTTATGTGACTGACGAGACCCAGGGACAGAGGACAAAGAGTAAGGAGGGACACGAGACAACTGACAGCGGCTTTAATAATCTCCTAATTATCGCAATAATTACATTGTGCACGTGACCACAAACACGGCGGTATTTTTCAGCTGAAAATTATATGTTTCAACAACTCGCAGACGAGTGTCTCAGTAAACACTGCGAGAGACAAATAGAATAATTAAAAATGTATTATAAAGCAGTCTTATATTTCGTTATCTTACTGTCTTGAATAATTCTCAAATAAACATACTGAAATAAGATTTTTTATATGATTAAGAATATTATTTAAATATGATAAATTATTATTTGTTATTTCACATACTTACTTTATATAGAAACGTATTTTTTAATTTTATGTAAATTAATATTTCTGTGTAAATAAAAATTATCATATCAAGTTATTTTATTATGTTTTTATAACATGGATAAATTTTTTATCCTCTTATCAATACTTTTGTTAATAAAATAAATAATTTTATTATGAGAAAAACATAATTTGCGTTAAGTCAATATTCGTTCTTCCTCAAAGACATTCGGGGATTTTTAATTATTATTTTAATGTCGAGAAAAATTTATTGTGGACAAGTAATATATTATATATATAAAAAAAGTAAGCAATGATTCTAAAAATAAATAATCTATTTAATATTAATGAACATAATACATCTAGAAATTAAAATATTTGGCTTTCAATGATTTGAGAATTTTTAGTTCTTTCAAATGATACAGTGTAAAATAGCAATTCATGAACAATAATTATCGTCCTCGTCATTTATACTTGGTGGACAATTTTATTAATGGATCATTTTTTTAAGATTCACGGTATCTCAGAGAGTAAGAATTAATCTGACGTCAGTTGTATTTAAACTTATCATAAAAATATAAATTATTCTAAATTCTTTTTATTGATTAAATTAACATTTTTTTATATCGCAAAAATTATTTCTCCGAGTAAAAATATAGAAAAAATATGAAGAGAAAGAAGTGAATAAATTGAATAAAAATAAAACTGATATCATTATTTTATTACGATAATCTTTTGAGAAATAGCCATTTAATTAAAGATCCGTAAATAATACTTGTCGATGACGTAGATAAAGTTCATCTTAAATCCTTTCAAGGTTTCTTTATATGAATTATCTATCTCAAAATTAGCTATTAATTATTTTATCCAGTTGGTTCCAATTAATTTGTAACAGTTAACTCCTTGATTATTTCTAATTACTCACAATTACAAACTGCTGCTAATTGTAAGTAGGCTGATGTCACCGGATGTTTATGATGATAATTTATTAATCTTCAATACATACATATCCTTATTGAAATAAAACATACACACACATGTATATAATCATGATATTAAAATAGAAATAGTCATCAGTTATTGTAATTTATAAATAACAAAATCATCCATTGAGATGATTACCAGATAAATATTTCAAAGAGAAAGGAGAACAGTTCAAATGAACACAGCTTTGGCATCTTACTAATATAATAGAAACGAAATGCTACGTCATTGCAACGCCCCAGTTACATCAGTCACTGTTCAAATTGGGCGAGTATTGAGCTACCAACAGTATTTTCTTACTTACACTTATTATAAAGCAGCTAATAGTCGGTATAATTAGGTAGGTCATCTAAATATGTTTGTAAATAAGTCATCTTCTTCTTAACTCTGAGTTAAATAGAGCAGTTGAGCTGGGTCTCTCGGTCATCTGCATTATTGAAGACTGATCTTACTTATTATTTTAAGAAATGGTCAATGTAGCTATTTTTCATTTTTCACTCTTTGTCATTAAAAAGAAAAAAAAAACAATTGCATGACAATATATATTTAAGATCTATTTTTATTTTCAAGTTAATGTTGCAATCAAATTAGTCATAACAATACGAGAATATTTTTTTTTTAGAAGCAGTTGGATAATTGATGGTTGTTATATTTCGTATAAAATTTCATTTTTTTTTTTGAGGATTAATTTATGAGATAAATTTAATAATTGTAATTGAAAAAAATAAATTAGCTAATTAGGTGTAAGCGGAAATGTAGTAAGAGGAAGCTAGAAAGTTTAGAATTAGCGTCACGTGTGTCTGATTGGGTGTTGGCAAGTATACGTTAGTCCAAGCTATAGTAGGAGTCACGGTGATAATTTTCCTCTTGGCTATTTAGCTGAGTCCTAGTAATTAGCTGATAATCATGCACCACCCGAGAGCGTGAATACATGGACTATGTCATGTTATATATTGTAAAGTGTACGACAGACCAGCGTTGATGACGATGTTGCTTCGACGCGACCTGAAAATGCTAATTGAAGGATTGAGAGTGAAGCAAATATGGCTCTCGGTCACGAGTTTCTTAATTTGTGTCAAAGTTTAATAGTGCGATTATCGATCACGCGGGTTAACTCGTGCGAAAATGGACTATTGAATAGCTGAGGATGAAGGAAATGTTGAAAATTTAAACTCGGTTGCACTCTCATTTCAGCTTCTGAATTTTCAACGGAAGTTCTAAGAATACCACCCATTTCAACGATCTCATTAAATTATTGTTTCTTTTATGATAGTTTGTCTGAAATTTTTATCCCAATTGTTTTCCATCATAAAAATCATTTTTTCAACTAAATTAATTTTAGTTTTCATTTCATTGAAAATAATCAGAGCTTTATTACTTGACTAATCAAGTAAACTTATTGTAGAAAATGTTACTAGAATTCTTTTTACTAAAATTCTAGAAATATTTTCATGACTGTTTTCTTTATGTAATTATAACTTTTACAATTTGTAATGGAATTTTTTTTCACTTAAAAAAAAAAAAGAATGAGAAAGAAACTATGTAAAATTAGAAGAGATAAGTGTGAAATTAACATCATACAAGAAAACATTCTTTTTTTCAAGATTCTTAATAGATTGTAATCATAGTTTTATCATAAAAGATCCGAAAGAATGATAAAGAAGTGGAGAGAGAAAGGTTTGATGATTACAGTAAGTTGATAGTAGAGAGAAGGACGATCGAGCAATGAAGAAGGAGATAAATGAAGGGTGAGAGAAATAGACGCAACGATAGAAGGGTAGTTTGAGCGGGACGATGAGGGAGGGAATGTCGAGACTGGGGTTGAGGGTCGCCGACGGCAGAAAATCCCAAAGGCAGCACTCGACTCGCGATATTGTTGGGGTAGGTACTTGAAAAGTGGTCACAAAAGGAAACGACGTTGTATCAAAGCTTATATGAAGGGTGAATTTTGCGCGGGAGTGACTCTCGTGTCGTACTCTTAACTAGGGGATGAGTTCATACAAATTTTTATATGTTAAAAAATTTTACAGTTTTTATAGAAGATTTTGTAATATTCATATCAGTTTGAAAATTATTTTTATCTACGTATGGTCATCATTTTCAATTACAATGATCTATTAATTCATTGTATTTGGACATCGATCGATTGTCTTATCGGTCATTGATGTTAACATTTATGAAGTAATATAGCCTTACGTCAATTTAACTTGAAATTAATTCTTTTATATTATCTTACTTTCGATAATGATGTATCTTAAAACTTTTGAAATAAACACTCACATAATAATACTTGGATTAATCATCATTATAAATTAAATATCTTAACAAACTACAGTGAAACGTGGTTAAATGGGCCCTGGACGTGTGAGAAACGTTTTTGCATTAAGTAAAATTAAAAATTAATCTATAAAATGTTCAAAAGTAATAACTAATAATTAAAAGATATCAAATTCAGTTTAGTAATAATAAATGTCCAAAGTTAAGTCAAAAGTTAGGTTAAACACTAAATCCGATAGCACAAATGAGTTCAGATATCTTGTAAACAAAATTATCAAAAGTTTTATAATTATGTAATGAATGAATTCTAATTGTCAACTTCTATTTAATATCAAACATTGTAATTTATCTTGAAATTTAATTTAATTATAGATCCTCAATTAAGAATTGATTTCTTAGATTTTTGCTTCTTGTAGCTTGATATCCTGTAAAAGTAAGACACTTTAATAAATTGCGCCACGTTTGTATACAAACATACGACTTTCTTTTATTCGAGCTTTATTTTTCAGTAATATCTAAGGTATTTTACGATAAACAAGTGAGTAAATGTATACATGTCGAAATGAAAGTGTAACTGGGTAAATGAAAAGCTTCTATAAGTGATAAAAAATCCTGAATCACTTGAGATCCTAGTTATACAGGTTTCACTGTACAAGAATGAAACAAGAGAAATTTTCTTGTAATAAATCATGCTTGAAATATTGATTTATTCTGATATTTATTAAACAATAAAAAGTTGAAATTATTGTACCTATTATCAATAATAGAAATGTATTAAATTTCATCTGCAAAACTTTTGACATTAAAGTAGAATTGGTATTTAAGGGAAGAAAAAATAGAAAAACTGGGAATTTTTCGCTTGAATGAAGTTTCGAGCGATTGGCTCTTTGGATTAAAAGGAAAAGAGTAAAAAGAGATAAGCAATAGTTACCGAGGTCAAGAAAACGAATCAATTTCGAACCCTTTTCAAATCTTTTTGTGTAATACTTTTATCCATCTCTATTACATCTACCCTTGTCTCACTTCGATTCACCAACTCTCCCTTGTCTCACTTTTCGTTTTCACCGTCTCTCTTGATTTACTCTCCACTGACGATCTCGCAGGCGAGAACATTTCTCTTGACAACTTATCCACTTTCGATGTGCCATATACCCTTTGCTTCTCTCTAATAATTTTCCAACGTGCTACCCTTTTCACGTATCAACGCGCTCCATCGATTCATGATCCCGTGTAATCGTGCGTCCTTTCATCACCTAACACATACCGA